GTGAGGGCAGGGGTGAAGAGTGCCACCGCCGCCACCATCGTCGTTGTCGTTGTTCCCCCATTGCTGTCGTTCCCCATTGCTGTCATTGTTCCCCCTGCCGCCGCCGCCGCCGCCGTCGTTGTCGTCGTTCCCCCATTGCCGTCGTTCCCCATTGCTGTCATCGTTCCCCCTGCCGCCGCTGCCGCCGTCGTCCTCGTCATTCCATTGTCGTCCTCGTCCTCGTCCTCATCATGCCATTGTCGTAGTCCTGCCTGTCGTTATCATTGTGGTGCCCGCTGTCGTTGTGGTGCCCATCGTTCCCATCCTCTGCCGGGTCTAGAGAGCGATGGTGGGCGAATGGGTGGTGGTCGGCAAGTGGGCAGCCATGGGCAGAGAGGCGTCCTAGCCCACATCCCTGTTGCAAGGGAGGGGCTCAGTTGTTGCGTCGTCGTTGATGTGAACACGGTACTGTGAGGGCAGAGATCGGTTAGTAGAGATGTAAATACATAAGAACAGTACATACTTACCTTCTTTTTGTGTTTCGGGGCTGCTTCGCAGCGAGGGAGTGAGCGGGGAGTGAGGGAATGGTGCAGAAAGACCCAGATCAACAATGTTCAACATCGTTGATCGTGGTTTGGTGGGATTCGGCTGTGCCATCCCCATTGGCTGGGATTTTTGGCCCGATCCTGTTTCCGTTCCATTGTTGACCAACGGAACGTCTCCGATGGACGCAGCACGCCTTGTATCTCTATTAAAACTTTTGGAAACTGTTATTAGTGTCGAATTACATGTATGTATGTAGTTTAAACAAAATGTAGCGCAATTTAAATATTTTATGAGTGAATTCATCTCCGGCTCAGGCCAATTAGGGAACTCTCTCCTCTGTATGCAGATTCCAAGAGGCAGAAGAAGCCAAATAAATATATAAAAATGTCATACAGACTGGCTAAATATGATATTATTGAAGAGTAGATTTCCCCTGACGAACTTAATGATTTTAGGATGTACACTAAGAATCTACGAATGACAATGTGGATACTGATATGAAATCAACTCAAGGTTGTGTCAACTTTTAGACACTGGAACATATTACAGGATCTACATAGGAAACATAGGCCAAATTTTTGATATGTTGTATTTAATTACTTACAGATGTAAAATACAAAGTGGATGACTTTCCTTAACGTTTAGAGCCCATTCTAAACACTAAATCTCGTTTCAAATGGTGAGGCCGATGCATGCCGTTGTCACCTGTCAGGACCCCGGAAAACATTCCGCTCTCCGCTCTCTTCAAAGGCTGTTTCAAACGAAAAATCTAGGAGGAGGGTAAGTACCCCCTTCCCAGTTCTAAAGCCTCATTCTAGGTGTAAAAGCTCTTGTTTAGGTATGTTCCTAACCACGGCAGCCTTCGGCATTCCTCGTTCGTGCCTCATTGCCCTTTCAACCTTCCCTGCGATTCCAAACCCCAACGTCTATAAACTCCCATCTTCCATTTTAATCCCCGACGCTGGCACCCCGTCATTTGCTTTAGAGCCTCAAATCCGTTAAGGAAAGTCATCCAGTGATTGAGACGCTTCAACTGCTCGAATGAGTGGTATTCGAGAGGTTGGAACATCAAGGAGACGTAAATCACCACGCGAAAATGGTAACTCGAAATTTTTGCTCGTTCTTGATCTCAGAAAATATTCGGACCTCCATACATACATAGACTACAGTAGTTTAATTAATTACCAATGCTGATTCATGGAAATTTTATCATATTTCGAGGGAATGGGCTATTCCGAGGTCGATGAGCGGAACGCGGGCTGACCGGACCGCCACTGCCAGCCAATCACATCGCCCGCAGCATCCGCCGGATAAGCCATCAACGACGATGACCGTCGTTGATTCTCATCCTCAACCACCATCTCCCCTCTCCCCACTTCACCCAACCCCAAAACGACGCCTCAAAACTGAAAAAAAACAATAAGTAATATGTTTTATTCATGTTTACATACTCTAATACACCTTTAATTCAACCTTAGGCCAACGAACGTCGACTTGAAGTCGACGTTCGTCTTCCCTGGTTCTAGGGCCCCCTTCAGTAGGGATGTGGGCAGGGGCAGGAACCCCACCCCTCCGTCGTTCGACTCGCCTCTGCGCCCCTCTTCTTATATAGGGATGTGGGCTGAACCACGGACGGACGAACCACAGCGACGAACGACGATGGCTACAAATGACGACGGCTACAAATGACGATGAACAATGAACGACAACGAATGACAACGAACGATGAACAACAATGAACAACAACGAACAACAACGAGGACAAGGACAAGGACAAGGGCACGACAATGAGGACAAGGGCACGACAAGGAGGACGGTGGGGGCATGACAGGGGGCGCCCTTCACCCTCTGCCCGTTCGCCCGTCCGTCCTTTCACCTGTTCGCCCCCTCCTGCCCTTCGCCCGTTCACCCGTTCGCCCGTTCGCCCGTTCGCCCATTCGCCCATTCGCCCATTCGCCCCGTTCGCCCCCTCTGTCCCTTCGCCCCATTCGCCCCCTCTGTTCCTTCGCCCATTTGGCCCCTCCGTCCCTTCACCCATTTGCCCCGTTTGTCCTTTGCCCATTCGCCCGTTCGCCTTCCACGCTTCGCCCTTCGAGCACCAGTGGGGGGGAACACAAGGAGAGAAGAGCAGGAGGAGGGGGGAGAGCACAAGGGAGGGGGAGGAGGAGAGAGCAGGAGGAGGGGAAGACCAGGAGCAGGAGGGGGTGATGGGGGCAGCGAGCACGACGACGGGGCGTTTTCCCGCCTCACTCAGACCTTCACTGGTCCCCTCGCCCTTCGTCCTTCGCTCCCCCTCCTCCTCGCCCCTCGCCTCTCGCCCCTTACCCCCTCACAAGGGGCTCAACATGCCGGCGAAGGGTGTGGATGGGGCCCAACGATGGGGAGAGGAGCGCAGTGGAGAGGGGGGCAGAGGTGCCCCCCACAGAGGTGCAAGGGGGGTGGAGGTGCGGAGGTGGCCCCCACGGACGAGGAGGGGGCGGAGGGGTCCCCCACGGACGAGCAAGGGGCAGAGGGGGGCAGAGGTGCCCCCCGTGGACAAGGAGGGGGCGGGGGTGCCAGCAGGGACCCTCTTCCACCCCCCTGAGCAGAAACAGCACATCCTAACATGCCGTTTCTGTTCGTATTATCTCTCTTTCGTAGCAGGTGGCTCTACTTGCCACCTGCATCATGTATATTTTTTTTTACAATTTAATACCTTTTTTTTTTCCAATTTGCATGTACATTAAGAATCCCAGCTAAAAATAGATGACATGGTAAAAATACCGAGTGTCATCCAAAGTGCCTCCTCCCAATCCACCCCTTCCCGCCCCCCAACGATGGGGGAAACGGTGCACAACAATGAGGAAACTTATTTCCTCATTCGTTGGCGGCTTTTCCCCATCAAAAACAGGGGTGGGAACATCGAAAACGACGAGGAACAATGCTGGGGCATTGTTTCCTGCGTTGTTTGCATGTGTTGACAGGTCCTGCCCACAGGATTGGGCTTCAGCACACCCGGCAGGGCCTCTCCGTGGGTGGACTGTTTAATCACAGTCCTGACATGTGAGGATACACTGTTTAAATACAGTGTTTGATATAGATTTCTAGCGTACATGGCTGGCCTTTGGGCACTTGTTTTGGTAGTGGCCCTTCTTGCCACATGTCCAGCACTCGATATGGTCCCTCCTCTTGCTTCCGCTGCTCTTTGCCTTTGCCTTTCCCTTTGACGATGGCACCACTGACATTGCCTCATCACGGTCCTCTTCCTTTGACTTGCCACCACCTTGTCGACGTGCTTGCTGCGCTTTCTGGTGGTTGGCTTCTTCGATTAGAAGACCAATTAGGACGTCAGGATCGATCGTGCGGGTTGTGGAGAACATCCGTGCCGAGGCAAGCTGTGCTGATGTGAAACTCGAGAGGGACAGAGGGAGGGATGCAATGATTGTCAACAAGTAGTCCTTGTTGCCGATGTCGACGCCCACCTTCGCAAGCTCTTCCTTCTTCACACGAAGGCTGCCTAGGAATTCGCGAACATAGCTTCAGGACAGAGGATGGAAGAGAGTCGGAGAGGGAAGTGGTCGTTGTAGACATGGTAAACAAAGCGCGGTGTAAACGGGTACGTCAGGCAAATGAAATCTTGCTTTAGGCACAGGAAGCGGGGCCCATAACCTGTAAGAATCCTAGCACGAAGTCTCAGTCATTTGGGAAGCAAACAGCTGAGAGATAAATTAAATACCTAGCACGAAGTCTAGGTAACGACGTAAGTACACGAGAAAGTACAAGGACAGGAAGGTAACTCACCTCAGTTGTTTGGGAAGCAAACGGCTGAGGGGAGACAACGAGAGTCCATAGCTTATATACATAGTAAGTACACTGTCCATAGAGTACTCAATGGAAACAAGTGAAACAGGAGAGAAATGGGATTAAATATCCCAGGGATAAAATGAAGGAAAAATGCGCAATAAAGAATAGCGCAGGTACACGAATAAATGCGAGGCTATGTAACACGGAGAGTGAACAAAAGAAAGAGATATTGTACATACTTGTGGCGGGACTGCGGCGCTAGAGGCACGGGCGCCGAAATGGAGCGGGATCAACTTGGGTTTGCCGTCCATATTCCAACACTCAAGTCCAAGGCTAAGTTGTCATTATAAATCTCTAGACTCACTGAGGCTCAAGTGAGGCTGGGCATAAAGGATACTGCGTGGGCGCTTAAAATTCGAATAAAGAAAAATTGCGCACCGTGAAGATCGGGTTTTCAAAAAGCATGGATCCCTTGAATCCGCTGTTTATTTCCACATAAATGCAAAGTCTCGATCCTCCTGGCCGCTAGGGACATCATTTCTATGGCATTAGTAAGGGCACTCGTGTAATCCATCAACCCGCTTGTGTGGCGCACAGCTCCGCAGACCTGACAGAAACTTTTCGGCGCTTGACGGTCTAGGTGAGCTCAAATATTGTGACTGGATTCGGGGGGCCGTTGCGTAAGTAAACTCTCCTTCTAACCTTTGGCCTTGGAAATCTGTATTACGGAATAACGCGGTATGATCTCTGCCATTACGCTAATGGAACAACATCAGGATGCCCAGGAAAGATTGTGAGTACCTTCAAATATGTAGGAAGGCTATTTGACATTATTTTCAGCTGAAAACTTTTCTTTGATTAGCCTGTGTGGGACTCCTTTCGTTACACGTCCCCATAACAAGGAACTGGGTGGGCCCGTGGCTGACCCTAGTCGTACCTTTCCGCACCAAAGGGCATTTTATGCGGCACTTAGGCCCGTGCAATGAATATACGGCATTCCTTTTATCTGTTGTACTCTATATAGTTGCGACTGATTGGCGTCCGTTCTTTCACCGCCCATATCACAGTGGCTGCTCGCATCAGTCCATTTGCGTTTAATCTTGCAAGGGAATGCCCGGAAATTTCGAGGTACTGAGGAGTTCTCGGGCCAAAGCTATGTATCGGGCCCACGTGCGCGGGCTTATAGAGCTTAAGTTGGGACAGGCGCTCACTTGAAGGGTCCTTCTGATCTTATAATAGGCCCCTTATTGCCAGCCGTTGTTACCAACTTGAGGCGATCAACCACCACTCGGGTACACATTATCCCAAGAAGTAGATGTGTTGGTGAACTCGAATTCCTTATAATAGGGACATCGTCTACCAGCTTCCGGTGATGTCTTCCCCCCATGTCTGAGGCTCAACTCAGCCAGGCAGTACGCCACCTGTACGTACTTCCCCGACTCACTACTGCAAAAAACCTCGAAATGAACGAGCCACGCTCCACGCAGGTTGGCTGGGAAGTACTTCCAGATCGCCTCGTTTGTCATGTTAATCTACGACCACGGTAAGGTCTTAAAGGTATTCATTTCCACCCTGTTTGCAGCCGCTAACGAGTAAAATTCATTAGGAATAACATTCAGTCAAGAAGTGCGTACCGTAATACGGAGGCCTGTTCATTTAATAATGACCCGAGTGGGCGCCAATTTAGGTCGAGAGGATTTGGAAGCCTAAGTTCTCGGGGGCCACGCTCCTCTTTCTGATCAACCGATACGTTACACCGATGCAATTTATAATCATCATAAACGGTGCATACTCTCCACTACCTCCCTGAAGAAATCTCAGGCGAACTTGGTTCGTAGCCTTTTTTGATCCCAGATGGTCCCCGTCCGTGTAAGCCTTCAAACGCTGCAGAATGAAGGTCCTTCAAGGCTCATCTGTTGTCTGTCCAGCTGCAAAAGGTTCGTGAAGTTTGAAGGCGCTTCAACGGTTGCTTTGATCTCAGGTGAGTCTCCCGCCGCCTTATCCCCCACAGTTTTAACATTGACATCGCAGTATGCGAACGTGCGTCTGTCTGAGGACTCAATAACACTGCTGATTTCAGGAGAACTTACTAAACCCTGGATCTGTCCAGTCACCATGATCCTTCGTGTCTACGCCCTATACGGAAGATCATCCCCCGTCTTAATTTTCTTGCTGGTTCTCCTTGTGGTACAGATAACTATTTCCGCCTATGGTCTGCACGAGGGGTTCCGTGAGTGCGTTCTCATTGTCTTCTGTAATAACTAATTATTGTCTATTCTAAATCAGCCGTCCCTCATCTCCCTAATGGAGGGACACCTGGGTGCATCTTAACGGGAAATAGCACCCTCTTTCGTGAGCCATTTCTTTCCAGCAATCTTTTGAGGAGGGTTTCTCAATGTATTCGGTCTGGAAGCATCGTTATGGCTCGCACCCCTCGTAACGGATTCATGCCTCTTCGCTCTGACATTGTGGCGAGGGCGACGCTACCTTCGCGATGGGGGATACGCAGACCAGAAGTTACGGTAACTCACATGAGACCGTTCTCTTCTCTCCCTTCACTTATTCATTGCCTGCAGAATTGTCCAGATTGTACTGCGAGATGGAACTCTGTACTTCTTCGTCATCTTTCTTGCTAATCTCATGAACACCCTGATCTACTTCGTAAGCGCTCATCAATTCCTTGGCGTCGAGCCACATTAACTGTCGGCACGCCACTCAGCTCTCGTCGGCGCTCGACCTGAAAGCCATTGGGGCCTCCTTCAGCCAACTCATAACCTCCGTCATGGTTTCGCGACTCGTCCTGAATTTACGTTCCGTGCCCCTCCCTTCAGCAAGCAGCCGTTATCAAACGACCGCTTACACCGCGACCACGATGGATCAAAGTAGAGGGTTCGAGCTTACCCGTCCGCTCAGCGCCTCGTTTTTGGACTTGACATTGCACCGTCTTGGAGAGGAGGTGGAAGATTTTGAATACGCGGATATTGGTAGGGAAGGGATTTCGGAGGGAGTGCCGGTAGAGAATAGACAAGGGGGCAACACTCAGGCCTTCCGGAGGGTAGATCAGGCATCTGTCGCTTGAATGCAGAGACATCGACAAATGGGCTATCCTAGGCCTTAATTCATACTGCAATTTTTAGTGACAAGGACAAGCCCCTCTGAATACTTCGTCGCAACGTCAATTGTAGGAATCCTGTACCCATATTCAGATATGGACATCGTCGCTTATCGTACAGAATTTGGAGTGAGATAATCGTGATCGCTTATATTCAACTGAAGAGCGACGAGATATCAAGAACCTGAAAAGTCTACAAACGAGTTATGCAACCAGTGACTGGGAGACGTGCGGCAGAACTAAATAGCGAAATGCGATGGAAAGCGAAAAAAACTGGATGGATGGAGATGCGACAGAAAAGTTCTTGTGCTTGTGCTTGTGCTGTATAGGACTCGGAGACGGAGAGAGAGAGAAGGGTATAAAAGAATACATATCATGCTTTATGCACCGCTTGACTGGACTGGAGAGCCATCAGCCGTCCTTACGACGGCTGTGCAATGGTGGGATAGAGAATAAACAAAAAAGACTTTGGGACTTTAAGTTCAGGTTTGGGATGGAAGAGGCACCGGGCATCATCTTCGAGTTCATATTCATGATCAACAACCTGGACTTGTTGATCGTCTTCATGGTCGCCTTGACTGGTCTTCATCGAGCTCCAACGAGAGGGAAACCCAGACCTACGTCCAAGCCTCCTCGACTCCTCCTCCTCTTACCTAAGGGAGTTCTTCGACCCGCGACTGCCCATCGTCCCCGCCGTATTCGAAGCAGGGATCCCCATCTCCGGCTCCTCAGGCCCCGCACCACCCGTCGCATTGCGGATGCTGACGAGCACCTCCTTGCAATACTTGAGCTTATCCATCATGCGCTGGTTGAACTTGGCACCATCGGGGTCCGCAGCGGCACTTGCGGGGTTGGCGGCGTAGGAGAGGGCCTGGGCCATGATGTCGGAGAGGGAGTGGCGCGTCATCTTGTAGTGTTTGTCGATGTGGGTTACCACCAGCCCGGAGGAAGAGAGGATGAGCTTGGAGTGGTCGTAAAAGTTGAACTGTAGCGATAAAATCGGGTTAGCCTCACGGCTACTTTGGGTATTGACTTGGACGTACCTGTAACACGTCGTGACTCAATTTGAAGACGATGACGTGCTTCATCCTGAGGTACTTCTGGACGAACTCCATGCCCTTCTCGCGCCCGGTGTCCTCGAACGTGTACTCGTACTCGCCGTACAGTCGGTCCATGATGTACCGCTCGAAGTGCTTCAGGAGGTAGACCTTGCTCTTCAACTCCTCGGGGTAGGTCTCGACGGTGAACGACTTCCGCACGTAGATGGATGCGTGGCGGCGCGACGTGACGTAGTCGAAGTGCCTATCGAATTCAGGACCATGGTCAGCCCTGTTTTTTCCTCAACGACACAGGGGAAACACGGAAACTTACACTTTATCAGGACTTAAAACCAACGTTGTGCTATCATTAAAATGCACGCCCACACTGCCATCCGTCAGGGCATATCCCATCCCGTACTTGTTGCAATAATCAACCCATGACACGATGAACACCTTCTCGTCGGGTAGCGGGTGGTTGCCCACAGGGTCGCAGAAGACCCGCCCGGCAGCTTTAGCGTCAAAGGCCATGCAAAGGGTCTGAGCGGCAGCATCGAAGCCGTTGGGCTTTGGCTGTGGTTGGGCTTGTGGTTGAGGGGGTGGTTGGGGTTGGGATGTAACGGGCGGCGCAGCAGGAGTGGGTGCCAAAGATTGAGGATGATGCGTCAAGAAGAGGGGCGCGGGTGTTGGTGTGTTGTAGGCATATCCTGGGGGTTTAATGTTAGTAAGGAACGAAATGAAAGGTAAGAAAAGAAGGGTATGTACCGCCATTATGGACGTTCTCCTTATCGACGACGAGGCCTTGACTCCTCGTCCTCAGACTACTATACTTGCTCTGCGTGCGCTGCATCTGCGGCGCGACGTTCTCGCCATATCGTTCCCTCTGGCGCTCGCGCATCGGCTCCTTGACTGCGGGAACCTTGTACCTCTCCCTCTCTCGTTGCCTCTGCGTCTCCTCCTCCTCTTCCCTCCTAGCACTCGCCTTCGCCCTCTCGTATTCCATCTCATCTTCCTGGTCCTCCTCGACCTCTTCCCTCACAGGCGCCATTTGGGCGACGATCCTCGCCTTCTGCGCCTCCAGCTCCTTCTTTCTCAGCCTCATCTCTTCCTCCTCCACTTCCTCATGGTCCATTCCATCCTCGCTCCCGTACATGCCTGCGCCGCCAGGCGGTACTGGCATCGGGAGTCTCCTGCGTACGCCATCCCTATCCCTCTCCTCAACAACCCCATCCAGGCCGCGGACGACGGTGCGCCGACCAAGAGGGCTCTCTTTGACCGCCTGGAGCTTACGAAGCAAAGGACTGTCGCGAGCACCACCCGGGCCGCCGGCGCCGGGATTGCCGACGAGTAGAGGCTGGCGTGCAGAGGAAAGCAGAGCAGAGATGGGCGAGCCTGGCTGAACGGCCTTCTGGAACTCCTTTTCTTGCTGCGCGATGGATGTGGCGACGTTCTTGGTGTTCGCCACCCCGTTCGATTGTGAACCAGCAGCGCCGCCAGAAGAGGAAGGTGGTAAGGACGAGTAGTCGACGTCGAGCAGAGCGTACTTGCGCAGCCGCTTTAGGTTATGCTCGGACGCACTCCGGGAAATATGCCGGAAATCGGGTGGGGCGTCGTGTGCTGATGTTGGGATGTAGGAGGGAACTGGGCCTTGTACGAAGAATGCGTGGTCGACAATTTCATGGAGGGTAGGTCGCTGTGATGGGTTGGGGGTGAGGATTTGTTGAATGAGATTCTGTACGGCGGAGGAGATGGCACGGTCGGTCGGGAATTCGTATTCATTGTCGCGGATACGCCTGTCATTTTTTGGAAGGTAAGTGATGGTTGATTAGAGGGTGACAGTGCGGGGAATGACGTACTTGTAGATCGCTTTCACATCTTTCGTCTGGAACGGAGGCCGGCCAACGACGAGTGTGTAGAGGATAACACCAATTGACCACGTATCCACCTCGAAACTATGGCCGTTAGCGGTGTCGAACAGAACCTCCGGAGCGATATAATTAGGTGTCCCGCAGATCGTCTTCTTCCTCTCGCCTGGGTTCTCAATGAGCGCCGCCAGCCCGAAGTCCCCAACCTTGACATTCATGTTCTGGTCCAAGAACAAATTACCCAGCTTCAGGTCGCGATGGATCACCTGGTGCGTGTGCATGTAGTGGCACGCGCCAATAAGCTGGACCATGAAGAACCGCGACTCTGCTTCGGTGAAGCGTCGCCGGCGTCGGAGCATGTCCATAAGCGACCCGGAGGGGCATAGTTCAAGCGTCATGTAGACGTTGTCGTTGTCTTCGAAGCAGTCTTGGAAGTTGACGATGTTCGGGTGCTCCAGCGAGCGGTGGATTTTAATTTCTGCGTAGAGCTGATGCCATCAGTTAGTAAGGTTGAAGTTCAACAGGCAGAGGGGCAAGCCACTCGGGCAAACTCGCGAGTGATATTGAGTGGGTAGAAGATGCAAGAACAATGGCGAGGCCGTGGAGAAATTTAGGTGCAAGCGACACTCACTTTGGTTTTAGCCTTCTTAGTTTTCAATGAATCCTTCGTGACGACCTTACATGCTAGTCGGGCACCTCTTGCGTCCTTGACTTCGTACACTCGTGCAAATCCACCCTACAGCAACGTCAGCCCGCCGTGATGTTCGAGCCACTCTGCCAACACACCTCGCCCAAGAACCCAACCCGGTTGAACTGGAGCCTTCCCGACTTGTCGGTGATGATTTTGGGTGGCGACGGCGGCGTTGTCTTACTATTCTGCCTGGGTAGAGGTGGCGATGCTGGAGCCTTCGGCGGCGGCTTTGGGGGTGTCGCCTGTTGCTGGTGGTTGACATGGTGGTTGACGGCGTTCGTCAGAGGGTGTCTGCGCTGCGCAGGGGGCATTTGAGGCGCCTGTGGCAGGCGCGCGTATGTGTGTGCTTGGTACATTTCCTGAAGACTTGCTGGGACTTGGGAGGCCTAACGCCCGTTGTTGTCACTGACTGACGGTTTCGAACCAAAAGTTGAACACGCCCCAAACGCGTTTTGTTCAAACATCACGTGCACTTACCTTCTCACGGGATCGCGCCAACGAACCTGTCAGTCCATTTTAAGGCACAGACCCCTGAACCACCTTCTCGACGCACACTTCGCCTCATTGTCGCTGTGCAGGCCGTTCTGCTTCATTTGAGGCGATGCATGCGATATGCGCTCTGCGCAAAAATTTGGGTGAGCGGAGCGGCTAATCAGGAACCTTGCAGAGCCTGCAGGCACCGCTATCCGTGAATTTGACAGAAAAAGGCTTGAGAAATGCTGCCCGCCGTCGACGACACACATGCATCCGAGGGCAATATAAGGCGGCGTATTCGCCTGCATCTTCCTCTTTCCATTCTTCTGCCTCACTTTTGGCCGAAATCGGAGCACGACGATGTTCGTGCCCTTTTTCTCGTCCATTTCCTCCTCTAGTTGGCTGTCCTCGAGTTCAAGACTAGAACGCCGGAAAGGAGGTGGCAAAGGAGCGAGCAGCTCCGGAGGCAAAGCGGGCAAGAGCAGCGCCTCGAAGAGTACCGGAATCACATCAAGCTCGTCGAGCAAGACCAAGTCGAAGATTAAGACCATCTCCAGCTCGTCTTCGTCTTCGACGAAGTGGAAGAGTTCGTCGACGTACGGCGGTGGGAGTGTCCCAGTCGCCGCTGTCATACCTGCCGGACAGCTTTTTGCTGGACGAGTGGCAGGTGGGGCGACCAGGTCGCAAATAGTCGGAACAAGGTACATATATGCGCCTTTTCTGGGTATTCGAGTGCCATACTGACCATGTTTTCGTATGATAGAACGTATGGAAGTGGATACCCCGGTGTTGCCGGGCGTGGAACCTCAGGGCGAGGATTTCCGTTCATATTCTGGCCCATCGCCTGGCCGCTCGCAGTGGGCAACGGTGCGGTCAGCGCTTCGTACCTGCATAACAAACTCGAGGTCCGTCTCGACCCTCGCACTCTTGATGAATGTCTTTTTCGCTTATTGTCGTGCTACTTCGTAGTATGGTGACCCCACAAACTCCTCTCGCCCAGGAGGCCCCCTATCCACCGGACTCTTTCCTTCTCTCGCCAGCCCTCCTGCTCTCTTCCGGATCCTAGCCGATAACAGCACGATATCCTCGCTCATCGAGGACGTCGCGGCAAATTGCTCTTCCTACCTCTCTTCTACCCTACCCTCTACCTCCACCCCGGTTGCCTCGCAACCTCCTCTGGCTTACACGCCCTCCAATGTTCTATCGTCCGATAACGCAACCGTGGTATTGCAATCACCCCAACCACACGAAGTCATCCAATACTACCGCGCCTCGACACTCCTGCTTTCCTTGGACGGATACAACAACTCGCTAGCCACGTACTCCGCACAGGAAGGTGTAGTGCAGGACGCCCAAATCCCGCTTTCGGACTCGAGGGACTTGGCGCTGTTGGAGTGTCTGAATACAACGATTGGGCTGGCGGTGCCGTTGATTAATGCAGGGAGCGGGTTGGGGGTGGGGTTTGTGACAAAACAGGGCATAGGCGTGAGTGGGCTCGTGAGTATTTGGTGGGTCGTTTGGTGGTTGGTTGAGATGCTTTGAGGTGAGACATTTTGACGGTTCATCGTCGTTTTCTGGTTTATCTGGTTTATCGGATAGGGAGTTTGGGTTGTTTGGGTCTTCTTATCCTGCGAAAACCTTTACATTCTTTCTGCACGATGTTGATATTCATCTACGGATACGCGACCTGTACAATGAACGTCGATACCCAACAATCTGAATACATCGTATTTTTCAAAGCTTGAGACTGACAAAGTCAAGTCTCGTCTCGGCACTCGACTCGACTTCTCACTATACTGATCCAAATTCAATAGGTCTGCTCATCGGCTGACCACGTCTTCTTGACGTTGACATTGTAATCCATCAAGACAGCTTGTTGTTCCTGTACCATCGTCAATGTCGTCAAAATCTGCACAAAATGCGTCGGGCACCTGAGGTAGCTCACAACACGCTTGTGTTCGCCCTACCCCAATTCAAACGGACGAAGATCGCGGTCCCGCCATTTTGCGGCCCTCCGAAACGATCCTAGGGGGAACGGCGATTCGTCCTGCATCAAGGGTTCCCGACATATGACGGCCTCGTGTTGCTGAATTTCGAAAGCTCGGTCCACACCTACATGTATTGCTTTGCGCATTGGATCCATTATTCCTCTCCTCAGACCTAGGGACTCTTTCCTGTCAGGGCGCGATCACGTGGGCATGCCAAACAGTTAAGTAATTAAAGTAACGCGCACGAAGATGACTTGGCGTCTCCAGCTTGTCCAGAGCCACCAGTCTTCCGTTATTGATTGGTGAGGACTTTCACAAAATGTGTTTTCCACCGACTGATTCCCTTGTAGGAACACGTTTTCGCTGCAAAGTTTACCTTGTACATACTCGACTCAATTTTTTTTACGTTCTACCAAGGTACACCACCCGGAACACCGAATTCTGTGTCCACATTTGTGCCACTCAAATTTTCCTCAACGTATAAACCCATCATAGCCACAACGGTCTGTTCCGACCACCACACCTCTGCCTCTAAAATAGCGTCCACGCGAATGTGATGGGATTCTATCGCAGGCTTGAGGACGCATCCTCTGTTGAAGAATTCAGACAGATCTTCCTTGATTGTCTCGAGTGTATGGCACTTCTTTTTTCTAAGCTCTTCATGAAATCCAATCGTTCATCGTTTACTCTGTAGGCCATTACCACGCCTATAACAACTTCGAAGTCCTACATTGCGACATCAGCGAATACAATCTTATGTTTGTCCGTGCAGAGGATACCGCCGAGGTCGATAGAAATTTCGTTTGGCCGGAGGGTAGCCCCTCTGTCCGTGGCATTCTCATCGACTTCGACCTCGGCTTGGACCCGAACGCTGAAGGCAAAGCTCCTGCTAGCTCGGCAAACCATCGTACCGGAATGCTTCCTCTCGTGGCGAAGGACCTTCTCGAGGATTGGCGGCCCAAGTACCTTTCCCCGCCCACACATCATTACCGGCATGATCTCGAGTCTTTCTTCTATACTCTCATATGGGTCATGACGCAATACGGCCTTGAGAAAGATGAAGATGGAAATCCAATCCGGGAACCTCTTCCAAAATGCCTTGCAGGTTGGAACGTGAGGGAGACAGCCTCCGTAAAGAAGGGCGGCTTCTATGTCTCTTCTGTGTTCATTACTCTTGAAGAGTCCGTTCTTCCCCATTTCGCGGAGCTGTGGGATAAATGGATTTTTAACTTGTTCCTACTCTTCCGGACGGCGATGCTTGGCGCCCCATATCCCAAACAGCCAGCCTATAAGATATACGACTTCGCAACCCATAATGGCCAAATCACCTTCGAGACGTTTATGGAGGCGATGGGTGAAACGCCGCGCGGCCTTGATCCCGACCGACGTGCAACAGCAGCTGTTGAAGCGTAGTGTAAGGTGTCCTTACGGACTAGCCTTGGAATCACGCACAATGCCACGGCTGCGGCAGTCTCGGAAAGGTTTGTGCTATAAATAGTATTTCGTCATTCCCGCTCTGTTTCATTTTCCTTCGCATCGGAATGAGCTCACGGTTCATTTCGTACTCAAAACTGACTCGAAGAGTCTCCACTATTACATCACTATGTCTTATCTTGTACAGTATAAAAGCTCGAGTAGTACATTCTGTACGAGCAGTGAAATACATCCCCGATTTCCCTCACTTGAGCCACGAGAAGCTCATTTTATATTGCTAGCCATCGAATATCACCATTGAGAAGCCACAAGAGCTTCATTCTGCATTGAAATCTTATCGCGCTACGCCTTCATTGACGTCCGGCGCTTGTCCATCACGCACGTCGGCATCTTCCGAAACAAGCGCTTGCGTGCCGGTCAACGGTCTATTCAAGATCTAGAAGACTACAGACGGACGCTGTGGTATTCCGACACCCTTCCTCTCAAACCCAACCGACAAAGATTCATTTCAGTAGACTTTTTTTATGTACTTGCGTATCATTGGTCTTTCTACTTGTGTAACACCCCGTGCCACGGGCAAACCTCTAGATAACAACCATTGCCGTGAAGTGTATATGTAATGGCTTATAGTTCTCGATACTTCGTACCGACGGAGCTGGATGACATTCCGCCAACACACAACCGCCGTAGATATGATAAGATCAAAGCAGATAAGATGTTGCCTCACACGGTGAGCGTGCCGTCCTTTCAACTTTGACTCGAACCTTCAACTGCGTTTTAGTCGTCCCCTTGCAAGACTTTTATCTCCCTATGGAAACTCTGCGGGTTCAAGTATATGCGCCCAAACCTCCCGACAATACCCAGGTAAGTTTTCTGTTCCTGATGCACCGTCAATTTATGGGACATTGCATTTCTACAGCCAAATCATTATGTCAGTCATGTCAAAGACTCTGCTTGACAAAAATTGACGTGAACGCGTAGATTATTCGTGGAAATCCAAAGAGCCTGGAAAATTCTCGATAAGGACCAAAGGTTTCGACTCGGAGCAAACATACATGACATCCCCCGAAGCGAAGCGGCTAGTACCTTTGGTACGTTGCAGAGTGGCTAGAATCTTTATCGCTCTAATCTACTCCCAGTCTCACGAAGTATCGACTTACATTCAAGGGTTTGGTGTCATCCCAAATCAGGAAGAAGCCGCGATCCTTGAGAACCTTCGTACGACACGTCAAGGCGAGGTTCAAGAACTGCAGTCCAAGCGTGACGCGATTTTTCTCTCAATGATCTCCTTGCCACGGAGGTCCCTCTACAGGAAAAATTGAAGGAGCTCGCGGTCGTCTCGTCCATCCTTGCCCCCATTCGGCGACTTCCTCCAGAGCTTCTGACAAAAATATTCCGTCTTACGACTGCAGAACCCCAACCTCCGGCGCATCCAGAGGACCGCTCCCCCATGGTTCTCTGCAGCGTATCCACCCTGTGGAGAAACATTGCCATCAAGGACCCATTCCTGTGGACACAGATCCGATTCGATTATCCAGTGTACAGCGAGTACATACAATCTGAAGAGTACTGCAACTCGGACGAAGAAGAATTGACGCCTTCCAGGGATGAGTCCCACGTCGTTGAGGAGTATCGGCGCATGCTACGAAGAGTACAAGTTTTTGTCCAACGCGCTGGAAGTGCGCCTCTGTTGCTCAGCGTCGGCGACTGCCGAACGGATACAATAAGGATTGTTGCCCCCTCGCCAACGCTCCAGGCCTACAGACAAAACGCCTTCAACACGCTGGTCTCTCTCTTCCCTAGATGCTGGTCGTTGCAGTTTTACGTGGACCATGCATGGAGAACGTCCTTCTTCACAAAGCTTCCTCCGGGGATATTGTCCAAACTGGAAAACCTCCAGATCAGTTTCCATCAGGAGACGACCGCTAGTTCTCCTATAGAGACACAGCTATTCAAACTTTCCCCTCTTCGGCATTATCATCTATTTTCTGAATTTCCACGGGACCTCGCCCACATTTCCGTTCCGCACTTGTCACTGGAAACGCTTACAATCCTTCTGTCAGACAGGGCGTACATGAACACGAACTTGCCCTGCACAGATGCCGTCGAGATGTGGCGTACTTTCCTTCTTAAGTGCACAAATCTCCGTGTCGCATATGTCAGTTACCTGCTAAGCAATTTTCTACTCGTCCTACACTCTCCAACACTATCGCATGGGCTTCTGCACCTCCAGTATCGCGTTCCCCGTTGGCACACCTTTCCAGATTTCACGTACGCACCAATCTTCATGCAAGTGCATGTGTGATGCTTCGTGGCCTTGATTTTCCCGCCTTAACTCACTTACCCTAGAATCTGTCCTCGTATTTCCTGGTGGCGAATTTTCACTTGTGCCAGAAGGAAATGTACTCAAGGACACCATTTTACGCGACATGCCATAATGTCACTCGGCTGACAACGCTTGGCTTAATTCGAGTGTCTGTGGATAATGAGGACCTCTATTCCCTTCTCCACATCGCAACACAACTCCAGGTCCTTAATATTCTCAGGGGGGCAATTCAGACTTCAAATGACTCCACCAGAAGCATGACAGAAACGTGGCTTGAGGACTCCACCGGCCTGATCTCCTTCTTGACAATTGACAAAAATCGGCAGAAAGAAGAGACAGTTTTTCCCCCTCTTCCCCAGTTGCAAACCGTCGTGCTCTACCATGGCATCAACACTCTCGGCGACCGTGCCCCAGACACCGCCTACGCCCAACTCGCCCACTCTCGTTATGAATGGATGGTCCAGCACGTTGGTCGGCACGACTTACAAGCAACTGGGGTCACCTGTTATTCTCTTGCGTTGGCGGGTCGTGAATTCTCATCCTTACATTAGCACGGCAACAGGTTAGGTAGCCAATGACTCGAGTATTTCAACGTGTTTTGTGGACGCACTGTTGTGGACAAAAGATCATTAGACAGAGGGTGAGGCTTAACATGTCCCCCCCTCCTAAGAATCCGTCATATAGGTCATTCGAACTTCGAAGTTCGGGGGCTGTACTCCACGCGATCACGTGTGGATACGACCAGAAGAATGGCTTGGCATCTTATTCTTGGCAAGAGCCTCCATTGTTCGTCGGTGAGGAATGCCACAAAACACACAAATTCTCTTCAAAACGTCTAGCTTGACTCATTTTTTCTCTCTTCGCGCCATGCGAACGTGCTCTCTGCTACCACATCCAGGGCCACTCTTCAAACCATAAATCCAACATGCCCCGCTCAGTCAAAATGTCCTCATCTTCCGGTTCCTCGTCCTCCTCATATTTATCTCTTCACTCCATCACCTCTGAAAGTGCCACGTCCATGGCATCAACGGGATCAACAGGTAAGTAGAAATAGCTCAACCTCTACCAATGATGCTAACGTCGCGAATCAGGGAGCACGAAGAAGGCCGTTCCCAAACCAGTCATACCTTCAAAGTCGAAGGTCGCCAAAGAGAACCCTCGTCGAGCCGAAACCGCACGAAAGATCCTCAAGCTCGAACTCGACGGGCACCTGTACCAAGACATCACCGTCGAGCAGTTCGTCATCAACGTCTGGGGCCTCGATGAGGCTACTGTGAGAAGAGTGCTGGATGCCAACATTGGCCTTCACAAGAGCTATTGGAGGCATTACAAAGCTGTGTGCAACAAACCGTCTCAGTCACAACCAGAGCAACATTTGCATGAGCCTTTCCGGCACATTTCGTCGCATCTGCTCAAGGACGTATGCGAGAAGCTTGGTCTCGACCCTAAGAAGACGATAAAGGATATGTTCTGGGATGGAGGAGGAAGCAAGAACATGAAGAGCCGATACGCGTATGGGAGGCTTCGCAAGCCAGACCTGCTGCGAATATGGGGTCTTCGAGATGGTCGGAAACGCCCGCGGTGGAGTGAAACGAAGAGTGCTCTGGAATTCAAGGTAGAGGAGGCGAAAAGGAGGGCAAGGAAGAATGCCAACGGCGGCTACACCTACGCTCTTCAGTCCATCCAGGAAGGCGCGGAGATCGCTGGAATAGCAACGCCTCAGAACGGAGCTTCATCCTCCTTCGCAACGAGCTCGCGCGGTACTGGGAGCGGATCCCGGGCTCAGTCCTTCTCCACGCCTCTGACCTCCTATGCCGACCTTTCTACAACATTCAATAGCTCGACGTCTGGCAAGCGGCTCTTCGATGAGGTTGACGGTGGGGATGCCGATGATAGTGCCAATCCGCCAAAGCGAGCCAAGGTCGCCGCCGATGATGGTGACGAGGAGGAAGACGAAGACGAAGACGAAGACGAAGACGAAGACAAAGACGAAGACGAAGACGAAGACGAAGACGAGTACAAGAAGCCTGAGATTGAGGTCAAGAATGGCGAGATCCAGCTGGCGACCTATGCACTCGAGTGTCTCGGTGACTCGAGCCGTCACTACACGACAGGAATCTTCATCGACAGCACGTCCGTGAATCTGTGGTATTACGATCGCTCCGCCGTCATCCGAGCCTCCAAGTTCCAATTCAACGCCGAAGAGAACAACTACGGCACTAAGCTACTCGCTGTCGCTCTCTTCGCTCTCAGCCAGGCGACAATGAAGCAAAGCGGCTTTGACCCGTTCGTCCACAGGTTCATAGAACCCAAGAATGGCGTTGTACTACAAGAGCACCACATCAAGGCCATCACCATCCCTCTCAGTATACGGTCGAAGACGTGCTTCCGGTTCAGCAAGAACGGCGAGGATTTAATCTTCGTCGTTGACAAAGTGCTGTACACATACTCGTCCATCATCGGCCGTGGCACCTACGTCGCGAGCGGGAAGCGGGCTTCAATTGGCTCTCCCCTCGGCGAGATCTCTAATGTGCTCAAGCTCAGCTGGCAGTTACAGGTCCGGCATGCGGAAGCCGAGCTGCTCAGGAGGATCCGTGGTCGACTGCCTGACTACTGGCACAGACACCTTCCGGCGGTCCGGTTCAGCGCGGTTTACAAGCCGGAGGAGCTGGGGTTGCCACGGAGCAAGCTGAAGGAGGTGCTGAAGCCGACGAGGAAGGAGATACAGGAGCGGGACCTCCACGTCCTGGTCACTGATCTTTACCACAAGCTCCACGAGGCCGCCGATGTCGAAGAGTTCAAGCAAATCTTCCTTGACTGCTTCGAGTGTAAGTTGACCTTTTTCAATTTCAAACATTTGAAAGCAGCTAACAACTCTGTCCATAGGTCACTATCACACTTACATGACGGGCCGGGTGTTGCATCGGGATATCAGCGAGAACAACTTGATGTTCGCTGACCCGAAAGAGGTGACGGCCCCTACTGGGGCAACCGACTGGCCTTCGTCGAGGTGGGGTATCCTCAACGACTTTGATCTGGGTTCCGAGATCGAAGCAGACGGCAACGTTCAGTCAAGCAATGCCAATCATCGCACTGGTACACTCCCTTACATGGCCACCGACCTTATCAGCCAACCTGTCCCACGGAACCCTCACGTCCAGTACGTGCCGCCTTCTCACTACTATCGCCACGACCTCGAATCCTTCTTCTATATCCTCGTATTCGCGTCGACTCGGTACACATTCGATAAGGGAAAGTGCTTGCCTGTTCCGGCATGTCTTGCCGCCTGGAGCAACAGCGACACGGCATACGATAGCAAATGTGGGTTCTTCGCCCCCATTGGTCTCCAGCGCGTCAATGCCGTCATATTGGACCACTTCACTGGCTTGTGGAATGAGTGGATCTACCCGCTGTACCGCATGTTCCGATTGGCACTGAATAATACTCCATCTCCGCAAGATCCGGAATATAAGGAGTACGACTTTGTGACCTTGGAGGGTCAGGTCACTTTTAAGAAGTTTATGGAGGCAATCAAGGTGAAACCCCGCAACTCAGACGGTGAGCGAGCTGCATAGGACATTTCTAAACGGGCCAAAGAGTCATATGATGGTAGCAATTCATACTGTTGATAAATCCTCATCTTCCATTTTTAATTGTGCAAGATGTACTATCAAATTTCATTGCCCTGTCATTTTGTGAAGACTTTGCAGCGAGAAGTCAATAGGAGCGAAGGTACGGCGCAGAGGAGTGGTGATCCAGCTAAGTATTTGCGATGTAGGAGGGTGATACGAAGATTGGTAGCAAATATTTAGAACAGCGAAGTAAATAACAGGTCGTAAATGATTCTCATCTCGAAGACCTTCGAAGACTTTCACAATTTGTGTCATGTCGCCTATGGAAGGAGATTTCTACGCGGCGGCGCAGTGCGGCCCGAGCTTGACCGCTCTCTACTTGTCCAGAGCCACCAACTGCAAAGCGTCCAACTTGACTCATTCCGGTCTTGTTCCGGTTCCTCATCATCAAGTTCAACTTCTTCAAGATAGGCTTGCTTCTCCCCAGACGGTTCAACGTCGCGGCCTCCTTCGGGTAACTAGTTCAACCTTCACGACGTAGGACGGTGCAGTGCTCTCAGCTGGGCTTAGCCACAATGAAGCCAACTTGCTTGGGCCCGTTCGTTCACAAGTTTCACAAGCTCCACGAGGCCGCAGACGTCGAAGAGTTCAAGCGAATCTTTATTGACTGCCTTGAATGTAAGTCAGCTATATACCACCCTTAGCTACGGCTAACAGCCCTTTCTCTAGGCCACTATCACACTTATACGATGGGCCACATTTTGCCTCGCGATGTTGGCGAGAACAACTTGATGTTCGCTGACCCGAAAGAGGTTGCTCCTTCTGAGACTACTGACGATCGCTCGTCGAGGTGGGGTGCCCTGCACGACTTCGATTTGGGTTCCGAAATAGACGAAGACGGCAACGTTCAACCCAGCAACGCTACCTATCGCACTGGTACACTGCCTTACATGGCCGTAGACCTTGTGAGAGCACCTTTGAAGCCGTCCCCACGCATTGAATATGTTCCGCCTGCTCACTATTATCGCCACGACCTCGAATCTTTCTTCTATATCCTTATCTTCGCCTCAACTCGATACACATTCGAGAAGGGCAGGTGCTTGCCCGTTCCAGCATGCCTCCGGACGTGGCAAGACTGTGCGACAGCGTCCGACAGCAAGAATGCCTTCTTCGGTTACCGCGGTTCTGAAGCCGTGAAAGTCGCTGTGTTGGATCACTTTCTGCCTCTCTGGGATGAATGGATCTTTCCCCTCTATATCATGTTCAAAACTGCCTTCAGCACCATCCCAGAGCCAGGATTCCCTACCTTCAAGACGTATGACATGGTGACCTTGAACGAGCAGATCACGTTTGAGGCCTTCATGGCCACGATTAAGGTCACCCCTCGTAACTCAGCGGGCGAACGAACGAGGTAGCACGCTCTAATTGGCACCCTTCCCTGTAAGTCTCACCCCTAGTCATCCGCGACGTTGATCAGTTCCTCCTTCCTCTTCTCTTGTCAATCTTCTCGATGTATTCCTATCATGCATATAAATCCTGAGTTCTCATCTCTCCTCTCAAATGCAAGTGATTACGACCCCTGATATATCAGCTACAATACTAATTGCATGACAATAGCGTGCTGCCAGCTTCGACGCGAACCACTGTTGCCGTTCGGCCTTCGGTGTTGGGTGGCTTGTGCCATATTCATGTTCGAACGGGACAGTGCCTGGAGGAAACACGGGGACCAACAAGGGGGGCAAGGGTTGAAGAATCGATGCAAATCGAGCAGAAGACGGACGTGCACTTGAATATGTATAAGTGATATGAGAAGGCTCGTCGATGCCCGACGATACAAAGACGATGGAAGGAGCGTTATCAATTCAATTGTTCTCAGTTCCTCATCAACGTAATGGAAGAACGCAGTCCCCGATAGTGACGAAAGCCAGGACGTTAAGTTCTGAGCGCAACAACTCTGGAGACTTGTACATAGTCGAGCTCACATTAGGTGAATTTTACTTTTGAGACGAAAGGAGAGCTCTCTCAAACGACAAGGGAAAGAATAATATACAATCCGTACACCCCATGCAATCATCAGCAGGGCTTGGTATCGTCGTACTCTTTGTCTACCATAAGAACGAGAATTCCCGGCCGCCACCCCCCAGCGCAAGTGAATAACAATGTGCTGTCTTCAGGACGGTGGTATGGAGAGGCCCGATAGCTTCTTGTAACAAAGTTGTAACAGTATCATAACGGGCGTCGTCGTCGATATCCTTCTCCACCACAACACCTATCTGAAAGGGGGACTTTTCGAAAGGGATCTCCTTCGTTATGCGTAATTCGTGCTTAGTGGAATGCTGGAGCATCCATTCATAACGAGAATGAGCAAGTTGAGCGTAGCTGGAGTGTGGGACTCGCTAGCCCAATGTCTTGTCACCGTAGTACAAGATGAGGGTGCGTAATCGTGGAAGAGGGGGCAAAAAGTTCTCTTCCTTCTGTTGGTTCTCGTCGATAGTTAAAAAAGGAATCAGGCCGCGCGAATCCTCCATCCATCTTTCTGTCATGATTCGGGTGGAGGAATCTGGAGTTTGAATTTCTCCTTTGAGCACCTCGAGTTGGATTGTGATGCGAGGAAAGTGTGAATACTTTCGCCTCCGCAGGGGGACTGGAGGTTAATTCGTGCGAAAAGTTGATTTCGAGTCTTTCCAAGTTGGAAAACACGCCCTGAACAAGCCCTCTGAAGAACGAAATGCCCCACCCGTGTTCCGCGTAAAATTCGACCGAGCGACATCTTGGGAAGAGGGAGATCATTAGCTTGAAGGCATTCTGTTTGCAGGCTTGGAGTGTTGGGGAGGGATTGGCAACTCTTATCTTGTCCGTTGGGTTGTTGCCGATGGTAAGGGAGAGGGGTGCGTTTCCGGCGCGTTGGACAAAAAGTTGCACCCTTCGCATGAGGCGTTGATAATCTTCAACCACTGGTCCCTCGTCCCTGGATGGCGTCAACTCCTCTCCGTCCGAGCCATATTCCTCGTCCGAGTGGATGTAGTCGTCCCACACAGGATAGTCAAACGCGATGTGTGTCCACAAGAAAGGGTCCTTGATGGCAATATCCCTCCAGAGGGTGCATACTCGACAGATAATCAATGGAGGGCAGTCCTTGCGAAGTGGAGGGTGTGGCTTTCCAGTCGTACTACGAAAGATTTTTGTCAGAAGTCGACGAATCGGGGCCAAGAGACGATTGCGGCCTCCCTTGTTTTGCCTTCCATAGTTTCCTCCATTGCCAGGAGATCTTCACAGAGAGCCTTGATCGAGAGCAGCATCTCATCGCGCCGGGATTCCATTTCTCGGACCTCCTTTTGACGCGTCGAGCGAAGCTCTTCGAGAGTCACAGCCTCTACCTGGGTCGGAGCAATGCCAATTCCTTGAATATAAGACGAAAGATCATGAGACTGGAAGGAAATTAGGTGACAAGTAGCTGAAAACATTCTTGCGACGCACCATCGGCACCAATCGACTCATTTCAGGGGAGGAGACGGCTACGCGCTCTGGATCGAAACCTTTTGTCTTCAAGGAGAATATACCGGGCTCTTTGACTTTCCAAGAGTAATCTGGGTGGTCACGGTAAGCTTTAAGTTCCAGCAGGTAGATTCTTCGTTATGACTGACATAACGATCTGCCAGTGGTGCCGGCTGTAAATGTTTTCAATGCTTGCAGACCAATAGCACATCGTTGAGAGCGACTTACACGAGGCATTCTCGAGGGTTTGAGGCCCATGTATTTGAACCCGAAGACTGTCCATGGAACAAGAGTGTTCCGTAGGCCAGAGATAGCGCACTTGGAGGTATGAGTAGAAGCGGCCTCTTGCATGGACCGTCGACCATCATACACATGCATTATGCAGGATCTTATCTTATCTTTTCGGGCACGTCTAGTCAGCTAGTCAGCTGTGCACTTACACTCAGAGTACAAGGGAATACGTTGGAGTACAAGGTATAGTCCTAAGAGGAGGTCTAACATAGCGGACAAGTACAGTGGAGGCTTGAGAACCAGAACGTGAAGAGAGCAACGTAGATTACTTGAAGCGTTCGTATATTTGTAGGCAGACTACAAGATGGTAATGAAAAGAACAGGCATCAAAGGCAAGGGAGGAGTTGGAAAACACGAATATCACTTGAACAAAAATGAAGCAGGACGATTGACGAACCCAAGAAACAATCTCTCCGTTCCTCCTCTAAGGGATCTCAAGAACCCACGTATTTTCTAGAAACTCATAGCTTCGCCAACCACAACCCCAACAAAACACACCCAATCGTAACCGGCGGCGTAACGATGCAGTAGCTCCAGAATATCGTGCGGCTGATGAGGCGTTCGAACGCGTCGCCGGAGACGGCAGCAGTGATTTGCGCTAGCGTCAAGGCAGGCGGTGAGCAGAGGAGGATTGTGTTGACTGTGACGAAGACTGGGCTGTTAAGAAAACAGAAAAAAGATTAGCTCGTGCTCGAGGTGAAAGACGGAAGATGATGAACAAAAGAGAAAATGTACGCACTCCTCGAAAATGGCATGCCAATCGAACCTGGTTGCAAACACCATGAGCGGCACCAACAACACCGGCGTGATGATCATCCTCGCAGCGACAGCCAGAACCACCGTCTTCGTCTCTCCAGGTTTTAACGTCTTTTCCTTCTTCGCTGGGGGACTACTCGACCTTTGGTACCTCGGTATCCCAAACGTATCTTTGACGATCTCGATGAACGTCCTGCTCTGCCGCCTTCGCTCGCTCCTGCTTAACCTCCTCTCGCCAGCGTTGGTAGCGTCAAACCTTTCAGGAGGCGGTACGTAGAAGTAGGCTCCGAGGACGACGAGGGTCAGTGGAACGGCGCACTTGCCAGCGGTGTTGATGGCGTTGTTGAGCGGCTGCATGTGGAACTCGAGAGCGTGCTTCAACGGCGCGATGCATGCAACAAACAAAGAGAGAGTAGCAGACCACAGTGGGACGGTCATGAAGTCATTCAGCGCCGCCCAGAAGCGGGCAACCCGTCGGCCGACGTGGTGTAGGAAGTGGGTGGCGAGGTGATGTGTGTGGCTATGGCTATGGCTAGGCTGGGGGACATGCTGAGCGGGCTGCGTCGGGGGTGTCGGGAGTCCGTCGTTCCCATTCGACGCACGTCCAGCCTCGACGTCTCGGGGATGTTCGTCATCGCTGTCTTCACTGTCCGTCGTGTTAGGAGACGTGTCGTAACGCGCGAGGTTCGTCACGCTGTCGTTCGGGCTGTTCGGGAAGGAGTTGTAGAACGTCGTCCTGCGCGTCGGGAAGTGCGGACGTCCGGCCAAGGGCGGCGGTGGGTCACCCCTCTCCGACGTGATGAGCTCTTGCAGATCTGTGTGGGCGACGTCCTTGGGCGAGTGGACAAGTCTCGGCGAGCCAGAGTGGCTGTTGCATTTGGAAGACTGATAAGAGCCGGAGACGGTGATGGTAGATGTGGAAGGTTGAGAGCGGAGGTTGGGCGAGTCTCCGAGAAGAAGAGGGGTGTTCTCGTCTGCCTCGCCGTTGTTGGCTGGAGCAGGAACAAGAATGGTATCAGCACGGGAAAGAAGGCTGACGCCGTAGCTGTATCGAACCTAGGGCATGGTCGGTCAGGAGGCAATGCTTGTCAGAGGACATTGCAAACGTACCACCATTCCGAGGGTGCTGTACATGGTCAGGTAGGTCAAGGCTCGACCAAGCATCGCATTTCGGTTGTCGTCGTCGCCCCAGGCGAGGTCAGGTACAGAGACCACGAGACTTTGCATGAGGGCGATCGGCAGTGCGTTTGAGTTCATGAACATGGCAGCAGCCATGACGAAGCTCCTGAATGAAAATGAGTGAAGTGACCAAGAATGACCAGGTGAAAACACACCGTTGCGATTGCTTGAGCCCGAACGCGAATCCAAGAACGCGCCCGACGAACATTGAAGCGGTCGTCACAGTAACGAACCAGATAGGGATGATCCATAACTCCTTCAATTTTGCTGTAGGAATCGGTCAGTACAACGGAGGAGACTCGATTGAAAGAATAAAGGACAGCGAAAGACAAACAAAAGAAAACATCGAAGAAAAGAATGGCCCGCTCGAGAAGCCCTGAGCCAAGAAGTAACATGTTTATCCAATTTGCTTGAGCAGCCACTCTCGAAACACGCCTGTCTCTGAGTCGCAGCGGACCTGTTTCAATGTATTCATCGTCTATGCCGGCACCCACAGTCCTTGCTCATCTCTTCCTCAGGCAAACAAAGTGAGGAAGAATTCATCCGCGGGATAATGCTTTGGAGGGCGTACACCGGCTTCCTGTGTGCTGGGAACATCTGCAGCCAATGGACAATATTGAACAGGTCGACGACGAAACCTCCCTCTGCTCCCCTCCATCCCGTGCCCGAAAAAGAAAAAGATGAACAAAAAGAAAGGCCAGCTCGACAACAGACAGGAGGCACCAACCGCCACAGATAAGCACTCACCCGGCGTCAAGAAAAAGGCCACTTTGGAGAAAAGCAGTGCGGGTGTGAACAGGGAGACATTGAGGCGGTTGATTTGCTGCGTGGGGTGGGGCAGGCCGTCAGCGTTCACGTCACGGTGCTACCGCACGGCGACGTACTTTTTGTGTCTTCTTGTCCAGGATACCATGTCGGGCAAGGGTGTACCCGGCGGCACAGAGTATAAAGACTTCTAGGATAGACTGCAGGTGCAGAAACACTATCAGTGCTTGAGACCGGCAGCGATAAGGGTGAAACGCACGTTGAAAACAGCAAGCAGCAACTGAACAAACGGCGTCTCCGATTCCTGGGTGCGCAGCAGGATCTCCACGGCCATGCGGTGGTGGTAACGGTCGAAGGCGACGCCTAACAACTAGACGTTGTTACTGTAGATGGGAGTAGAAAGGCAAGGAATGTGGGGGAATGAACGGAATGGATTGAGTGGTAAATACACAATGGACACCACGCACAAATTTGAACGTCATGCACGGCCAATGCAGGGCTGGGCCCGGCCAAGGACACACTGCATTCCTTTTGAGGTCTGATCCGGCATGGGCGGCACTGCCACTGATCGACACTGACAGACGCACGTTCCTCCGAGGTTGGGGGCCGCGTTGAGACTGAAGAGGCTGCGTGCTAGTTGGCGGAAATACTGGAACGAAATTACAGAACAACCTCTAATCAACCGCAAGCCCAAGTGCTGCGGGTGGACCAGCGGGTGATCAACGTAGCAGGAGATCAACGTAGCGGGGGATCGCCAGACATGTAAGAATTCAGCTGACGGACAAGATAGGTCTAGGATGCCGCAAACGGCCTAGTCGAGGCCAATGCAACGGCGGCGAAAGGGACGCCGCGGGAGGGGGGAGGCGAGAGAGAAGCAGGACGTATAGAGATGGAGGGCGTTCGGAGGAAAGGTGCGTCCAGAGATGGTTGGGGCTTATGTATCAAGGTCAGTTCCTTTGGGGAAAGACGATACGAGCGCTCGCCCCACGACTTGGGGATGGCGATCGTTTGGGGAGAACGATTTTGGTAGGCCGATTCCCGAATGTGGAATAGATGGCCGATCAGCGTCTACAGCGCCAAATTCTACAAGAGGGCGACAACGCTATGTTACTGTTACTCTGCTTAGAGTGTTTCAATCGCAAGCCAGAACGCAAATTAGCGAAGCTGCGATAAATGCGAATTCATACAACTCACCGTCACCACAAACCACATCGGTCGTATCTAGAAACTCCTATGTAACACGCTCGCTATTCGGGGCTTCACCAGGATGGTCTTCCTGAATTCTCATCGTTGACTTGACCTTCCAAAGTGAAAATTCATGCCCCTTGTACCCTAGATTTTCAGGTGACGGAAGGTTATTCGGCTTCAATCTAACATGAGATGCAACAGGCTGATCCCCTCCATCCACAGACCAACGAAAGAGGAGACATGGATGGTGTAAAAGTAGGCCTCGCTACAGCTCTTCCCATCCGCGAGGCATGAAAGCATTGTCTTGCATAGCTTCGCGGCACCGATCGCGTATCAGATGGATGCAAATACGAGGATCTCGAAAAAGTACTTGGGTTAGAATTCGGATTAACTTAGGTACGAGTATGATACAGCAGGGTGAAGACAAGTACACATGGACAAAGACGAATCAATATTGGCATGGCTTATGAAGGGGTTATAGAAAGAAGGAAAGCCCTTTTAAAGGAGTTACAGTTACAGCGGTCGCTTGCCGTCCGAGTTGCGAGGCTTAACCTTGATCGCTGCCATAAACTGCTCGAATGTGATGCGATTGTTGAAAGTCACGAAGTCATACTCTTTATACTCAGGTTCCCAGATTCCAGGGACATCGTTGCGGGCTTTCATAAACATGGCGTAGAGGGGAATAATCCACTCGTCCCACAGGCCCGTGAAGTGGTCCAATATAGCAGCATTCACGTGCTGAAGACCACTAGGAGTGAAGAAGCCGCATTTGCTATTGTATGCCGTGTCGCTCTTGGTCCATTCGGCAAGACACGCGGGGACAGGCAAGCACTTTCCCTTATCGAATGTGTACCGAGTCGACGCGAATACGAGGATATAGAAGAAGGATTCGAGGTCGTGGCGATAGTAGTGAGAAGGCGGCACGTACTGGACGTGAGGGTTCCGTGGGACAGGTCGGCTGATAAGGTCGGTGGCCATGTAAGGGAGTGTACCAGTGCGATGATTGGCATTGCTTGACTGGACGTTGCCATCTGCGTCGATCTCGGAACCCAGATCAAAGTCGTTGAGGATACCCCACCTTGACGAAGGCCAGTCGGTTGCCCCAGTAGGGGCCGTCACCTCTTTCGGGTCAGCGAACATCAAGTTGTTCTCGCTGATATCCCGATGCAACACCCGGCCCGTCGTGTAAGTGTGATAGTGGCCTACAAACAGAACCATTAGCTACAGTCAAATGGCGGAAATTGGGATTGGTCGACTTACACTCAAGGCAGTCAAGGAAGATTCGTTTGAACTCTTCGACATCGGCGGCCTCGTGGAGCTTGTGGTAAAGATCAGTGACCAGGACGTGGAGGTCCCGCTCCTGTATCTCCTTCCTCGTCGGCTTCAGTACCTCCTTCAGCTTGCTCCGTGGCAACCCCAGCTCCTCCGGCTTGTAAACCGCGCTGAACCGGACCGCCGGAAGGTGTCTGTGCCAGTAGTCAGGCAGTCGACCACGGATCCTCCTGAACAGCTCGGCTTCCGCATGCCGGACCTGTAACTGCCAGCTGAGCTTGAGCACATTAGAGATCTCGCCTAGAGCAGAGCCAATTGAAGCCCGCTTCCCGCTCGCGACATAGGTGCCACGGCCGATGATGGACGAGTACGTGTACAGCACTTTGTCAACGACGAAGATCAAATCCTCGCCGTTCTTGCTGAACCGGAAGCACGTCTTCGACCGTATACTGAGAGGGATGGTGATGGCCTTGATGTGGTGCTCTTGTAGTACAACGCCATTCTTGGGTTCTATGAACCTGTGGACGAACGGGTCAAAGCCGCTTTGCTTCATTGTCGCCTGGCTGAGAGCGAAGAGAGCAACAGCGAGTAGTTTAGTGCCGTGGTTGTTCTCTTCGGCGTTGAATTGGAACTTGGAGGCTCGGATGACGGCGGAACGATCGTAATACCACAGATTCACGGACGTGCTGTCGATGAAGATCCCTGTCGTGTAGTGACGGCTCGAGTCACCAAGACACTCGAGTGCATAGGTCGCCAGCTGGATCTCGCCATTCTTGACCTCAATCTCAGGCTTATTGGCCTCGTCCTCGTCTTCTTCCTCCTCGTCGCCGTCAACAGCGGCCACTTTGGCTCGCTTTGGTGGATTTCCATCATCATCACCATCCCCACCGTCGACCTCATTGAAGAGCCGCTTGCCGGACATCGAGCTGTTGAATGTGGTGGAAACGGAGAGGTCGGCGTAGGAGGTCAGAGGGGTGGAGAAGGACTGAATCCGGGATCCACTCCCAGTATCGCGCGAGCTCGATGCGAAGGAGGAGGAAGTGGGAAGGGCATCTCCGCTCTGAGGCGTTGCTATTCCAGCGATCTCGGCGCCTTCCTGAATGGATTGAAGAGTGTTGGTATAGCCGCCGTTAGCGTTCTTCTTTGACCCCCTTTTGGCCTCGTCTAGCTTGAACTCCACCGCACTCTTCGTTTCACTCCACCGCGGGCGTTTCCGACCATCTCGAAGACCCCATATTCGCAGCAGGTCTGGCTTGCGAAGCCTCCCATACGCGTATCGGCTCTTCATGTTCTTGCTTCCTCCTCCGTCCCAGAACGTGTCCTTTATAGTCTCCTTCCAGTCCAGACCAAGCTTCTTGCATACGTTCTTAAGCAGATGTGACGAAATGTGCCGGAACGGCTCATGCAAATGTTGTTCCGGTTGCGACCGGGAGGGTTTGTTGCAGACAGCTTCGTATTTCTTCCAATAGCGCTTGTGAAGGTCAATGTCTGTATTCATGATCCTTCTCACAGTAGCCTCATCGAGACCCCAGACGTTGATGACGAACTGCTCGACGGTGATGTCTTGGTACAGGTGGCCATCGAGTTCGAGCTTGAGAATCTTTCGTGCCGCTTCAGCTCGACGAGGGTTCTCTTTGGCGACCTTCGACTTTGAAGGCGTGGCTGGTTTCGCAACGACCTTCTCAGCGCTCCCTGATTCGCGACGTTAGTACCGTTGAGCATAGTATAAGTTGAGCTATTTCTGCTTACCCGTTGATGCCATGGACGTGGCGCTCTCAGAGGTGATGGAATGAAGAGACAAATATGAGGAGGATGAGGAACAGGAAGAAGACGAGGACATTTCGACTGAGCGGGGCGTGTTGGATTTATAGTTTGAAGAGTGGCCCTGGATGTGGCGGCAGAGAGCACGTTCGCACGGTGCAAAGCAGAAGAAATGAGTCAAGCTAGACGTTTTGAAGAGAATTAGTGGCTGAAAACGTGTTGTGTGGCATTCCTCACCAACGAACAATGGAGAGACTCTCGACAAGAAACAAATGCCAAGCCATCTTGCAGCTTGTCGGCTATTCAACATACACACGTGATCGTGTTACGTTGTTACCGGGCCCCGGCACTCCGGCCGTTGAGTCGACTGTTAGCAATGATCGAATTGAGAGCGGGGTACGAAGGACAGATACGATCGACTATCGACTATCATTTGTATGTATCAGGTTTGTCCGATCTAGGGAGATTAGTACGAATATTCACAAAGAGCATGAATTTAATTCCACCGCTACCAATACGCTCACCCAAACCGCTACTTACTACCATATGAACGAGAACTCACGCTCACCATCTGTGGACATCAGTGAGTAACAAACCTTTGTCCTCATGACCGTGGAATGAAGAGGGCCAATAGCGCTTCGAAGAGAAGTCGTAACAGCATCGTAGCGAGCTTCGTTCTGGAACCCCGTTTCTACTGCAACGCACATTCGGAAAGGAGATCTTTCGAAAGCCTGTTCCGCTCTCTCAGAGAGCCGGTGCATCCATTCATAACGGGATTGAGCGAGTCGAGCATAGTCGATGTCTGGGACCCGATTCCCGAGAGTGTGGATGCCGTGATATAGGACGACGGTATGCAACTGGGGGAGAATCGGTAAAAATGTGTCTTCCCTTTGTGAGTTTTGGTCAACGGTCAAGAAGGAAATCAGGTAGGAGGAATCCTCCAGCCATCTTTTTCTCGTGACTGTAGAGGATTCATTTGCAGTTTGAATTATGCCCCTGAGAATGCTGAGGACCTGCAGTTGTGTTGTAATGTGGAGGAGAGAATAGAGGTCCTCGTTGTCCACAGACACTCGAATTAGGCTAAGCTTCGTCAGTCGAGCAAAATACGGCATGTCGCACAAAATGGTGTCAATGAGTGGACTCCCTTCTGGGATGAGTGGAAAATCCCCACTGGTGCGCTCGAATTCGTGATAGGATTCATGGAAAAATGAATTAAGCACTGGGAGGTCGAGGCCACGAAGCATAACGGATGCACTCGCATGAAGGTTGGTTCGTATTCGAAATTTGGAAAGCTGGGCCAATGGAATGCGCGATCCTGGATGCGGCGATGTCCATGTGGTAGTGTCGGGGAGAATTGGTGGAGGAGGATATTGTTTGGGTAGATAGCTAACGTACACATCACAGAGATTTGTGCACCTAAGAAGGAAATTGCGCCACATCCCGATGGCGTCCAGGCAGGGTAAGTTCGTGTTCATGAATGATTCATCTGATAGAAGTAACGTAAGTGTTTCCAGTGATGAGTGTGGCAGAGAAATTCGCGCAAGATCTCTTGGAAACGCCGAATGCAGACAGTAGTTCCGCAGAGGGGCAAGTGTGAATAGTCGCATCTCTACTGCAGGACTAGGTGCCAATTCCTGGCGAAATTCGATCTCGAGGTTTTCTATGTTGTGGAACATGCTTGGTGGAAGTTTTGCAAAGAGGTGAACTCCCCTACAATGCTCCATATGAAGTTTCAATGACCAGCATCTGGAGAAGAGGGAGACCAATAGGGTAAAGGTGTTCTGTCTACAGGCCAGGAGTGCTGACGATGGAGTTCTGATTCTTGTTGTATCTGTTGGGTTGTTGTAAACACTGAGAGAGAGTGGTAGGCATCCAGCTCATTGTGCAAAGGTGCGTACCATTCACAAAACACGTTGATATTCTTCAATCACTGGTTGTTCGTCTGTAGATGGTTCCACTTCTTCGAAGTCCGAGTCGATGTATTCATCGTCTTGAACATATTTGTTGTAAACAGGATAAGGGAACTGAATTCGCGTCCATAAGAACGGGTCCTTGACTGCGATATTTCTCCATAGGGTAGATACCCTACAGAGAACGATAGGCATGCGGTTCTCTGGGTATGCCAAGGGTTGAGGCTCAGCGGTCGTAAGGCGGAATATTTTTGTTAGAAGCTCCAGGGGAAGGCGCCTAATAGGAGCTATGATGGACGAGACGACTGCGAGTTCTTTCATTTTGTCCTGCAGGGGCCGCTCGATAACCAGGAGATCTTTACACATGGCCCTGATCGAGAGAAGAATTGCATCGTGCTTGGCCTGCATTTCCTGGACTTTGTCTTGATGTGTAGCACAGAGGTTCTCGAGCATTGCAGTCTCAGTCTGGGTTGGAGTAACTCCAAGGCCTTGAACATAGGTCAAAATGTCGTGAGCCTAGGAACAGGTTACTTGGAGTGATATAGAGATAAAACACTTCACAATGCACCATCGGCATCAATTGCTTCACTTCGGGGGATGTCATGTATGTATGCTCTGAGTCAAAACCTTCGATCCTTGCAGAGAATTTGTCGGGTTCTTTGGCTTTCCAGGAATAGCCTATGTGTTCAAACTAAGTCTCGTCTGACTGAATTCACTGTGCAACTGACATATTGTTTTGACTCCTGAAACTTCAATAGGATACCAATCAATCTGCGATGCATCCATGAAAGAGTTGAAGAGGACTTACAGATGTTGTAGTCGGATTCAGGCTTGCATAATTGAAGCCACATAATATCCATAGGGATGAGAGGCTCTGCAGGGAGAGGCATAAAGTTGGAGGTTCGAGTTGAAAACTGAGGGCCACATATTATCAGCCCTAATCTTATCTTCGCACCATTGTCATATCTTCAGTGTTCCATGATCCTGAAATATGAAACTCAACCGGAATGAGTTGTAATTAGTTTTAATGATCCAGCCATGTCAGCTATAATTCTATATCAAACCCTGTGTTTAACCAGTGTGAACTCATAGATCAGGACTGTGATTAAGCAGTCAGGTTTTCCGAGGCTGCTGGGGTGAGTTTGCTGGGGATGCCGGGGCCATAGGGATTTGTTTGGAGGTGGGAGGGGGTAAATAAATGACCAAACAACCCTCCTGGGGGTGGGGCGGGGGTTGGGTAGGCCTGTGGGGGGCAGGAG